AAAAAAAAAAAAAACGACTGAGGAGCAGGGACTGAGTAGGGGTATTAAGGAGAGTGGTAAAGGTTTGGAATAGTCATTGAAGGTGATGGGAGAGGGAATGAAACACTAGTAAAAGGATTGCCCTCAGTGCTGAGAACCTAAGATTGAAGGCCATGAATTTGTAGAGGACACGATCTGCACAGTCAGAATTTATCTAGCACCGTGCAACTGGCACAATATAGGACTGAAAAGAGCTAGGTGTAGCCTTGAGCCAAGGTTGAGGTTTTGTTGGACAACAATAATAGAAGGATAGCAACACAAGAGAAATAAGAGTGCCAGTGAGAACTGAGTTCAGATGATCAAGCATGGGGTGCAGACAGGGAAGAGAAGGAGAAGTCTGATAGTCTAGAGGAACGTAGCAGGATAAAGGGACTGAAGGGGGGTGCAGTTTCTGTGAAGTCAAAGAGCAGTGTGGTGGGAATGAAGCATGAGAAAGCTGGAAGAACAGGAAGTTGTAGCCAGAGACTGAACTAGTAGTTCTGAGTGGCACAGTACTATGGTGTGCCCCTGGGAGCAGGTGGCCTGGAGTAGAAGGCATCGGCATTCCGGAGGGAGGTCCAGAAGTGTGAGGTTAGGTTGTTGGATGATTCCTCAGCATAGATGGTGAGGTCATCCAAGGTGATGGCAGGAGTGAGGGTGGAAAGGAAGCCTGAAGCTGCTGCCAGAGGCCTCAGTTGATCAAAGGGAGTGAGGTGGCAGTCAGAAGATGACAGCATCCAGCTGGGGAGAGGATGGGATAAGTGGGAGACAGCATTGTTCAAGAGTGAATATACAGCAAACCCACTTTAAGAGTTCTGTTGTGATAGAACTCCTTTGGCAGTAACATTTTTTAGGCATTTGGTGGTATTTTGGGTTTTCAGTTTAGTTGAACATGTATTGAACAACTGTTTTGTGCCAGGCACTGTGCTAGGCATTGGAGATACTAAGACGAGTAAGATGGAGTCTCTTGATTGAAACTTTGCAATGGCTCCCTATTACTTCTAGGGTAAATTCCAGGTTCCTTAATGGGGCCCAAAGGCCCTCATACCCTAACCCTCAGCCACCTCCCCTGGGCTCATCTTACAGCACTCCCACCTCAGATTTGGCTTTATCCATAGTTTCCTACACATACCACGCTGTTTCCTGCCCCTGGAGTGCCCCCTTACCCTTGTCCTTTCTTCATCTGATGAGCTCCTACTCATCCAGGAAACGTTCCCTGGCTGGCTAAAATGTCCCTCTGTCATTCCACAGCTTCCTGTCCGTAATCATAGATCATTCTCCTGCAATGATCTATTTACGTAACTGTTTACATATCCATCTTCCCCAGTAGAATATGAGCTCCCTGAAGGAAGGTACCGTGGCTTTGTATCCCCAGTGACTGGAACTTAGTAGTTCCTTAGGAAATGTTTATTGAACTGAACACTTAATCCAGCAATAGTTCTTAGGACCATCAGCCTCTAACAGTAATTATGCTGCCATCGACACAGACGTTGACATAATAATAAAATGTAAGATGCTGCCAGTGGTTGTTAATCTGAATATCGATAGGTTTTCTTAGGAAAGTGTCAATGGGTAATGTAGTAGACTTTGGAAATTTGGACATCAGTGTATTCTTTAGCCACATATGGGTGGTGGGAAATTTGATCTTTATTTAAAATATATTCTTGGAGATTTTACTTATTGGAATTGTGAGTACTCAGATACATTGTTGCAGTGCTTATTAGAAATCTTACAAAACCTCGGGTTTGCCGTTAGAAGGCAGGATTTCAAATTGGGTCCAGAAAATCTGGACCAGGCTTCTGGCACTCTCAACCATTAGCACACTCACTTGTGTATCCATTTTCCTTGAAGGGTTTATGTAGCATGTGAATTTTCTGTTTTAAGAGAGGTGAGTCACAGATTAATTTAGCTTGATGTAGTAAACTGTCTGGCAGAATTCCCTTTTGAAGTTTGGTGCTGTGATGGAAGTATCAACTCCTATTGTGTTGGACCTTTCTGTAAATATCAAGGTGCAGTTTAAACGAGTACATGTCATCTTTTCTCTAAAGGAGGAGCAGCCTCTGGGAGTGACAGTTCTGACAAGAAGGCTCAGGGTCCCAAAGGTGGTGGCAATGCAGTAAAGGTGAGTTAGTAGTTCTTTTTCTTTTTCTTTTTTTTTTTTTTTGGTGAGGAGATCAGCCCTGTGCTAACATCCGCCAATCCTCCTCTTTTTTGCCGAGGAAGACGGCCCTGGGCTAACATCCGTGCCCATCCTCCTCCACTTTATATGGGTCGCCGCCACAGCATGGCTCGCCAAAGCAGTGCGTCGGTGCGCGCCCGGGATCCGAACCAGCGAACCCCGGGCCGCCGCAACGGAGCGCGCACACCCAACCGCTTGCGCCACCGGGCCGGCCCCTGTAGTTCTTTTTCTTAACGTTAAGTATAAATAACATATATATGGGTGTTACTTTGGTACACTTAAAAGGAAAAGACAGTATACTGAACTCATCGTAAGAGGCTAGCCTAACACTGATGTAAAATCCAGGTAACACAAAATTGGAAAATAGAGACCAGTCTCACTTATGAAAAGTAGTTTTTCTCAAATGCTTTCTCAGACATCCAGAATTTCTCCATACTTCAGTATTATTCCTTAAAATGTATTAAGTTAGATCTTCCCAGTAAGTGAATGAATTATTTCTCAAGATGAAATAATTTTTTATAAAACCAAGAGCTTAGATAAACAAGCAAAGGCACAGGTCTCATTAGATGGCTCCTCCACTGGTAAGCTACAAGCCAGGGCCCTCACCATGAAAATGGGGGTGGGAGACAATCGCAAATAATTACTTGAAGTACTTGACCTAGTCCCAGAGGAGTGTCTGCCCTGGAAAAATATAATCTGCCAGCAGAACTATACTACTTAGTGCCATGTAACAAAGCAATTTCCATGTTTCAGTCAAGATATAGGATCCCATACTTTGATTCATTCATTCAATGAGGATTTAGTGACATCTGCTCTGTGCCAAGCAGTGTACTAAGTTCTGGGTATTTAAAAAAATAAAAAACAGGTAAGAGATGGTCCCTGTTATCACAGTCTAGTTGGGAGCAGTTAGGTAAAGAAAGAAATTTCCTTGCTGTATGATAAGTGCACTAGGAGAATTACATCATATAAATCCAACCATACACATGCAGCCAAAAGAAAAAGAGAGATAATGTAAATAGTGTGGGCCATTCTGCCCACTTTTCTACTCAATGAACCTATGCCCCAGAGAGGGAACGAAATGGGAGACATGAATCTGCTGACCTCTGTTCTCGTATGAGCATCCAGCCATGTGAAGTGGGATTCTGGTCTCCAAAGATAAGTTTTCATAAGACATGGCCCCTAAATACAAACCACCTACTTCATCTGATGTTCAGCTGAAGACGTTGTCATTGTTAAACATGGGCGGGGGAGACAGGCTATGTTAGGCTTAATGAGGGCAGACATGTTGGTATCCAGTATGGTATCTTCACAAGGGATGTGTAGGGTACTTTTGGCTATCTGCAGTTTTCACCTTATGTGCTGACTTTTACAAGCACCTAACCTAAGAGACTGCTCCACTGCATATGGCTTTAAAAAGGCATCTTGCCCTCTCTGGAAAAGAATAAGTTCAGTGTGGCTATACATGAGGTAGATGGAGAGGGGTGGCATGTAATTAGGTAGGAAAGTCAATTAGGGTTAAACCTTTTTGTTAAGCTTTATCTTTTGAGATTTTTTTTTTTTAGAGAGAGAGACATCTCTGGAGTCTCTTCTCTTTTTTTGAGGAAGATTGGCCCTGCGCTAACATCTGTTGCCAATCTTCCTCTTTTTCTTTTTTCTCCCCAAAGCCCCAGTACGTAGTTGTATATCATAGTTGTAGAGTTGTAGCTCTTCTATGTGGGACGCCGCCTCAGCATGGCTTGATGAGCAGTATGTAAGTCCACACCCAGGATTCGAACCAGCCAACCCCGGGCTGCCGAAGCGGAACGTGTGAACTTAACTGCTACGCCACTGGGCCAGCCCCTTTTTTGAGATAATTTTAGACTCATAGCTTCAGTTGTAAGAAATAATACATGTACCTTTTACTCTGTTTCCCCCAATGGTAACATTTTACAAAACTCTAGTTCAATAGCACAACCAGGAGATTGACATTGATGCAGTCAAGATACAGAACAGTTCCATCACCAGAAGGATCCCTGTGTTGCCCTTTTATAGCCACACCCACTTTCCTCCCGCCCCTGCCTCTGCCTCCTCCTTAACCCCTGGCAGCAACTAATCTGTTCTCCATTTCTGTAATTTTATAATTTCAAGAATGTGTTTTTTTTTTTTTTTAAAGATTTTATTTATTTATTTTTTCCCTCCAAAGCCCCAGTAGATAGTTGTATGTCATAGCTGCACATCCTTGTAGTTGCTGTATGTGGGACGCGGCCTCAGCATGGCTGGAGAAGCGGTGCGTCCGTGCACGCCCGGGATCCGAACCCGGGCCGCCAGCAGCGGAGCCCGCGCACTTAACTGCTAAGCCACGGGGCCGGCCCTCAAGAATGTTATATGGATGGAATGATACAGTGTGTAACCTTTTGGGATTGGCTTTTTTCTTTCAGCATAATTCTCTGGAGATTCCATTCAAGTTATTGCATGTATCAATAGTCTGTTCCTTTGTATTGCTGAGTAGTGTTCCATGGAATGGAAGTGCTGTAGTATGTTTAACTGTTCACCTGCTGGAGGACAGCTGGGTTGTTTCCAGTGTTTGTGAAGGCCCCAGCAGGGGAGGGACCCTGAAACCCTCCAGTCTTTTAGGGTCTAGGCTCCTTCTATATCCTGCCATTTTGCTTTAGACCCCACTCCCCATTCCTGAGCCCGTCCCTGCCCTGTGTTACTAGGGCTGTCCGGATCTTGAAATCCACCCTTCACTTCCTGCCTTCCCCAATCCTGTTCTGTTCTTCTCCGCACACAGACCTCCAGGCCCTCAAGCCGTTCCTGTTCTCCTCACCTCCTCCCAGGCTTTATGTCTGTTCTCTAAGCCCCGTTATGTCCTGTAAGCTGGAAATTAGATCGAAGGTCTTGACCATTGGATCAAGGAGCCTGACTCCTTTTCCTTTGGTCCTCTGCTGCATCCACCTGACAAACTACAACTCAGGATCAGTCCAATGGTCTACTGTTTTACACTGAAACCCAGAACTGCTGGGCCCTACTGGAGGGTCACACAGCCTTGGGGATTTGGGGCCACTAATTCCTGGTCTCTAACCCTAGCTAGGCCCTCAGTACTGCTCAGCAGTCCTTTGCCACTTACCTCAAGTGATCCACCGCCCTGCTCCAGTCAGTCAGCAGATCACTTTGTCCAGTGGTTCTCACCTCTCATCAGGTTCACCTGGAGAGCTTCTACAACAACCAGTGCCTAGGGCCCCACCCCAGACCAGCTACCTCAGAATCTCTGGAGAGTGAGGCCTGGACCTTGATTTATTTTTTAGAAGCTCTGGGGGTGATTCTTTTTGTTTTTTTTTTAAAGATTTTATTTATTTTATTTTTCCCCCCAAAGCCCCAGTAGATAGTTGTATGTCATAGCTGCACATCCTTCTAGTTGCTGTATGTGGGACTCGGCCTCAGGATGGACGGAGAAGTGGTGCCTCGATGCGCACCCGGGATCCGAACCCCGGCCACCAGCATTGCAGCGCGCGCACTTAACCACCAAGCCACAGGGCCGGCCCTCTGGGGGTGATTCTGATGTGCTGCCAGGGTTGAGAAACACTGATCCAGTCTCACAGGGTTGGTGTGAGGATTTCATGAGATAATGGATGTAAAGCACTTAGCACAGTGCCTAGCAAATACTAAGTACTCAATAACTTTTGAATATTGTTATAATTTTCACAAGAAAATGGAAACCAGACCTATAGTCAGGAACTCATTGGCTTTCCAGCCCCCTATCAACAAAGTTATCTTCACCCCCACCCCCCTCTTCTTACCTTCTTCCTTTAAGGCTCACTAATTTTTCAAACAGTGCTCTGAATGCCAGACCTTGCTCCTTCATTTCACCACCCTCTTTCTTGGCTCTGTCTTCAACCTTTCCCTCTACTGCATCTTTCCCTTCCTTCTGAAAATATGCCCAGGGATCTTGAAAATACACACATGTCCTGTGACCCTTTTCCTCTGACCAGAGCCCTTTCTCCTTCTTTTCTAACTCAGTTGGGGAAGTACCCCCCAACACATTGCCTTCCCACTTCCCGTTACTCCCTCAGTCAGCCTGCTGCAGCCTGGCTTCTGCACTTACTACTCTCTCCAACTGCTTTTGCTAAGGTCATCCATCAATCTTGCTAAATTGATTGTACCTCTTACCTGATCACTCTGCAGCATTTAACCCTGTTGAACATTTCCTCCTTGAAACTTGCTCTTGCCTTGGTTTCTGTTAACACACCTTTCTCTTCTACCTATCTGGCCCTTCCTTTTCATTATGCTTGTTGAGCTGCTTTCTTTGCTTATTGCTTAAACATTGATGTTCTCCAAGGATGTCTTTAACCTACTTTCCTCCTCTTCTCATTCTACATAGCCTCCCTGGGTAATCTCATCACCTCTCACAGCATCAGCTACTACCTCCACGCTGATTGCTCCCTAATTCTCTCCATAGCTTTGCTCTCTTCTAAGATGCCAGTCTTACCCAGTTGCTACTTGGTCAGTCACAATTACAAACCCCACAGGTACTACAGACTCATTGTGTCTAACTTATCAAACTGTCCAAACCAGAATACTTGTTTATTCCTCTATAAAATGGCGGATGGTATCGCCTTTCTGTGATCATGAATACTGTGTGCTTTTTCCCAGTAATTGAACCAGAAGGTTGCTTTGTGAGTGTAGAAGCAGAAAGAGGGAGGCAGTCTAGAAGCTGTTTTAGCTAGGCTGAGTTGAGGTCTGATGAGCCATCCTTGTCCCCCAACATGTATCTCTCTGGTGTCCAGATTGTTTGTCCCTGTCTCCCCTGGACAGTGCTGGACACATTCTATAGACGTTTGCCTCTCTGAGCCCTGCTTTTTAACACATTCTTTCCTTTGCTGGGTTGGTATCTCCTGTGTAGCTCCTCCAGTCAGGAAATTACTCCTGTGGGCCTAGGATTCCCTCGCTCCCAATTTCAGTAGTTGAACCCTGAGGACAACCTTGGTTCGCTTGTCTCTAAATTTATAAGGGAGACACCTTTAGCCCCTACCCCAGTGTATCACTTGCCATATGGAACAACAGATTCTATTTGCATGAGAAATGGGAAATCCTGCAAAACAGATGTCTTGACAAAATCATTTTTAAGGATATAGTGATTTTTTTAAAACATGGCTTTTTGTAAACATACGTCAGATTTGAATACTTCTATAGGGTTGAGTATTCTTAATATTCAACATACGATACTTTTTCAAAGTGTTGAATTGTGGGGAGGCTTTATACATTGGGCCTCTTTTGGTAAAAAGTGTTTCCTAGTGGGGTTTTTTTTCATATATTTCCCACTCTGATGAATGCTACCTTTATTGAATGCTAGCTGCATTAGCTCAATCTTCACAACCCTGTGAGAACACATAGGTACTGTTATTATCTCAATGCATACATGAGGAAACACTTAGAGGTTTAAAAACATGCCTAAGATCATACAGCAGAGTTGGGATTTGACTCCAGGACCCAAGCTTTCAACCATGATCATGTTTCCTCTTCCTCTTACCATTGAGGTACATAGTCAAAGATGGGAGCTTCCCACAGCCAGGTGCCCGTTTTCCATCTAAATCGAGGTTCTGAGATATTGTCGTCATGTGGGAAATGAGTTTCTGGCCATCACCCAACTGGGCAGACTTCCAGGATTTTCTGTTGCCGTGAGCTAATGTGTTTTTTTTTTTTTTTTTTTTTACTAATGGGGGTAATCAGACATGACTGCTGTACTGTGAGGAAAGGAATCGTTTGGGTCTCCAAGTATTATGTGAACATACTTTTTCCTTGTAGGTCAGACACATTCTGTGTGAAAAACAAGGAAGAATCATGGAAGCCATGGAAAAGTTAAAGTCTGGAATGAGATTCAATGAAGTGGCTGCACAATATAGTGAAGATAAAGCCAGGCAAGGGGTATGGTGCTCTTATCATTTGAAATGATCTGTTCCCCACAGAGGACACCCAGCAGTAGGGATTATTTCTATGTTCTGCCATTAATTTTAGCCATATCTTGGTTTAAAGATCTTAAAAGCAGAAATGTCCAACTTGTGAACAGTTAAATGTGGGTCCCCTATGTCTAAACCTAGGCATGACCAAACTTGCACAGCTAACAGACACCCGGTAACATTGTGAGTGCTTCTGTGTTCCGTTCAGGGTTGGACCTCTTCTACCCGTTTGTCCTTGTGGAGCCCTCTCCTTACAGCCCAGATGAATAAACCTAGGAACCTTAGCATTTGTGTTGGGAAATTCTCAAGCTACAGTAGAACTGTTCCCTCTTCAGGGCCACTTGACATCACATATCTTTTGGGTTTTGCAGGGCGACTTGGGTTGGATGACCAGAGGGTCTATGGTGGGACCATTTCAAGAAGCAGCATTTGCCTTGCCTATCAGTGGGCTGGATAAGCCTGTGTTTACAGACCCTCCAGTAAAGACAAAATTTGGATATCATATTATTATGGTTGAAGGGAGAAAATAAAATTGTATGAAAGACTGAATATGTTTTATACATTCTGTTTATTTCTTTAAAAGTTATTGAATAATTCTTGTATTTTATGAACTCTGTCATTGTGGGTTTGTAGGTACAAAAGCAGGTGGGTAGAGGTCAGCATACACTGTACACTGCAGTAGGTAGTCAGTTGGTGGTTCTCAAAGATGAGTCAAGTGGACTCCTTTAACCTGTCGTCCTTTTCCTCCCAGAATGACTTTATCTGATTCTCAGTATATCCTAGAAGTTCATTTAGAAACCATCTCTAGGGGAGCCAAATATGAGTTCATACTATGCACACGTTGAATTGGACATTGAATAGATGGATTCTAATATGAAAATCATCATATAAGTTTCTAGGCAACATTTGTTTTTTAAGTTAGCCAACTTGGATCTGCCAGGACAGTTATTATTAGCTCCATTGTCTTAACACAGTACATGGCACATAATGGCCATTCAACATTAACTCCTTTCTTTTTAAATAAATGTTTATTGCAGGAAAAAAAGCACTCAGTTCTTCTACCAGTTGTTTGTACTAGACTAAGCAGCCATTCACCAAGTGCTGGTTAAGGGAGAAATGTCAGAATAAAAACATTTCCTCATCTTCAAATGTATTGGTTACATTATGACCATCCCTTCCAGGGCCAATGTTCTGTGTATCTACGTTTTCTAAATTTATAATGCCATATTTATGACATACAAAAAAGTATAAAGAATAATATAAATACTATACTGCTTCAAAAACAAAACTTTGTCAACACAACTATGTGATTCTTAATAGTGATTCTTTTAACACACCGTGTTATCTCAGCTGCATTTGACATGCCACGTTATGCTACATAGTGGCAACTTCACCTAGAGACTTAAGGTTCCCATTTTAGAAGAGTTTCTGAGCACCCAAGCGGATTATGCCTTCATGAGATTTTCCTCACTGAGCAGACCAAAGGCTGCCCCATTCCCAGGGATGCATAGATACGCCAGTACGATACAGAGAGATGTTCAAAATAGGAAGTGTAAGATGAAACTGCTTTAAAAACCACATTCAAAACAATGTCTCTAAATAAGGGCTATAAATTCTGAAAATCTTGAAGGAAATTCTGAAAAGCTTTATGTACATGAGACACTACCTAGGCTAGAGTCCTTTGCTCAGGACATTGGCTTACCCAGGATACTAAGTGAATACATTTTGCATGGGTGTCACTCACGAAGGAAGCTGGAGTGCTCGAAAGGTGGACTAGAAAGAGCAAACTAATTTCTGTGGCATGGAGAGAGAGCCGTTATAAGCTAGCTTGTGAGCAGGTGGGGCAGGAATGGGCCTCTGACACCAAGCAAACCTGTGGGACGTTAGCTTTTGACTGGTAACTATGGTTCTGAAGGAGTTGGTAAATGAAAAAATTAAGGATTTATACAGATTTATACACATTATAGCACATGCATTCAATTTTGCTTTGAAACTGCATCTTTTTCATTAAGTTCAGTGCTTAAAGAACAAACCTCATTCATAGTAAAATAATTGCAAATTAAAACCAAAATGAGATCCCGCTTTTTACCCATCAGGTTGGCAAAGTTCAAAACGCTTAATATTTTGTTGGTGAGGGTATGGGGAAATAGGTATTGTCGGGGGAAGAGAGAGAATCTCCTTCTGCCCTTTCCCTTAAGGTTCTTCTGGCTGGCCAAATAATCAACAAGACAGGTTAGCAGGAGAAAATAATACCAAGTTTAATA